ACATGAAATGGATAAAACATTGTTCCAGAGGTGGTATTTGATCTTCAAGTATATAATGTTTAAGACAGCCATAAAGTCCATACTACCTCATATACAATGATTAAGGATTTGAAATTGTTACTTTCAATATTGTGTAATCATTTGTGCTGTTCAAATAAAAAATTAAATGTTTGAAATTAAAAAGAAAAGCAGCATCGGTTTAAAATGCCGTTAAGTCTTTCAAAAACCCTGCAACCATTTTATCCATGCATCTTTCAAGTTTTGAGACTTCTCTAAATAAACAAGTCAGATAGGAAAATGCAGTAAAGGCAAATATTTGTAAGAGTACCATCCTAGAATATGGGAATAAGTGTAAGAGCTCATACTGATTTCAGTAAGTTCTGCATCAAGCCCAAAATACTACTAAATTCACAAATAAAAACAAAAGTCTACTGAAATAACTAAACTATGATTCTCTAGTGTTTACAACTTATGTTTAAGTCTTTATAAATACATTCTTTAAAAACAGGGTCCAAAACACTGATCAGGAACTGACCAATTTCACTTTCTGAATTTACAGTACAGAGAAATGTTAAAACACCTAAAAATATAATTTTACCACAAAAAAACCCCAACACAAACCCAACTAAAACCCCAAATACAATCTAGCTCTTATAAGAAATAGCAGTAAGTTTCCTCTACAAAATTACAACCTTGTACACTCACATCTTATTGACTGAGCAATCTACTTTTTGGCAAAGTATTTTCATTTGATTAAAAATCCTTTTGTCAATTCTCTGTTTCAGAAAGGGAAAATTAATCAATATTCTCACTTCTCCATAAGGACAATCATACATTGCTCAAAACTACATTTCCTTTGTTACTGAGAATGGAAATTTGAATCAATTTTGAACTATTTTTCAAATAATAAAGTTGTCTAAAACCTCTTTATTTGGGAGGGTTACAGTGTTTACAGGACCACAGCATCCTGGAGATAGCAGGCCACCTACCTGGGTGTGGCCTCATGTTTGTGTTTTATCATGGAGTGGAACAGTTGCATAAATGTTTGACTATGCAATTATGGAAACGGAGCAAAAACTATAAGATTAAAATAACTGTCGACGTATCTCACTTCATATTTACTCTTTAAATCTATTTTCAATTTTTAACACTAAAGATACTTTTGAACATCCAAAAACCAGGAAACTAAACCATGGATCTTACAGACTATAGGCAGCCACCATGGAAGGGCACAGCCCCACACCTGGGGCAGCACAGCCTTCTCCAACACCACCCAACACCCTGTGGAATGTGCAGCTCGGCATCATGTTACTACACCTGCAAGTAAGTACTATGAGTATCCAGCACCAAAATAGCTGCACCCTCTGCAGCCCCCCACTACTTCTCCACACAGCATTTAGCTACGGATCTCACATGGAGAACAGCTTGTTTTACAGTAGTGGGTGGCAGCTGTGAAAAGCCTTCCCTTGAAGTCTCCGGGAGATCCGTGATCTCCATCACACATGTTTGGAGACAATTTGCTTTATACAGGAAAGGACCTTGAAGCCTCCTACCCCCTTAAAAGAGAAGCCTTAGATCCTTTCCTAAATATAATCACTCCATATCTGCCTGTTTTAACCCTGAGAGATCATCCACAACAGAACATCTTTGACAAAGACTCCTTTATTCCCACCACTCACATTTCACAAGGAGTCAAGATTCAACAACTGTGGCTCTTTGGAGAGGTGTAATGGTGGCTCACAGATCAAACCTCCACTTCAGATGTCACTGGAACATGAGTCATTAGCGATGTTTATTTCCCATTTTTGCTAAGCTAGGTGTGCTCCTGGAAGGGCACACTCCCTTGAGCTGCTGTGAATCAGGAGGGAAGACTTCAGTTAAGACTATTTGATGCTCTGAAGTTCAGCAAAAATAGGCCATAAATAAGCTCTTTGGCCTAGGGAACGTGATTTGCTCAAACACACCCTCAGATAACAAGTCAACCTTATTCTCTTTACAACTTGAATTCACATTTAAAATTGAACTGTATGAGTACAATGACAAAATTCGTAATGCTTCTTTCACACAGGGGTTTGCAAATGGCTTCCCCAACCTGTAAAGGACATCCATTTCCACCTGGAGAGCAGAAACTAGACTCATACTTGCAGTTTTCTACAGGTAGACAGCGAGTTATTACGGACGTGCTGCATCCAGCCTCTTTGAGCCACAGTGATTAATATGAATAACCATGATGCATGACATGAGTCCAGAAAAAATGCAGTACTTCAAAATGTTGGCAAGACCTTAAGGAAACGGGTGACCTATAAAAGGTTTAAGGTTTAGTCTCACTTATCAAAGACAAACTTGATATTTAGCTCAGAGAAAAGACAGTTAATGCTTATCCTAAATTATTTCAAACATAGTTGAGTGACACAGAGAAAACCCCTATTTCCTTTAGTTATAATCACTCATCATTCCAAGACCCTGAGAAAGACAGCCCACAGACTCTACCCAATTGCAAAACTTCAACAGCGAATAACTTTAAATTAAAGTGGACCTGTGAATTTGGAACTTCAACAGCGATACTAGGGTGATACACAGGCGAGTTTGGACCTTCAAAGCATCACGCTGCAGCAATCCAGATGATGTCACTCATATGAGCTCTACTTTGTTCCTACTGAGATGAATGGCAAAACCAAAGCCATTTGGGCTGACTCAACTCTCCAGAGGCAGGAAAGGATCTGCTTATTTAACAGCCTTTGCAAATTGTGTGATAGAGCATCTCACAGCTCTGGGGCTGCATAAAAACCACACACAGCGTGAACAACCCACAAATATTAGGCAATAAAAATGAAACGAAAAATGTAAGACGTAAGTTATCAATGTCTCTCTCCTTCCCACACCCCTCCGAGGAACAACTGCCACACCAATTTTCTAGAAAATATGGTTACACTGTCAAAAACCATTTTTACTGCATTTTAATAGAAGATGAAAGTACTAACTAATGTTTCAGAAGTACAGTGAAAATGAGGAGGGGGGCTGAAAAGCAAGAGGTACTGCGGATATTAAGAATAATTTTTCTTGCCTTTCAGACTTTTATTTTCTATTTTAAATTAAAGAAGAAAATAATTGTAAACATATATTTTCCCTATCAGAGTAGTAGTGACGTGCTTTTGAACAATTAATGCATTTTTTTCAGAAAAGGTAGAAAAACTGCCTTACAAAAATATAGAATTAAATGGCTGTTTACTATCTCAAACTAAGGGGAAGCTTACTTGAGTATACAGCAACAGACATACTGATTATGATACTAAAGCCCCAACAAAACATAACAGCTATCAAAAATGAAATAAAAACCTAATTCCATCTTGCCAGGTTCCTTAGGGACAATTAAAGGTTTTACACCTACTGATTTAATATATATGAACAACACTGCAAACAATGTATCTACTATTTAATTTTTAAATGCCCTATAGCACATTTAAACTGACAAGACAAGCCTTATGGAAGCGCTGCTGAGCTACTGGTTTCTTCAAAAACAACCAAGTTATAACACTTATTTATATAACCGTACCATTAAAGAAATGCAGCTTCAGAACCTACCATCTACATGTCCTGGTGAAATCCCTGTCCTATTGGGGGTCCACATCCTTGAACCCAGCTGTGAAACTGGTTTTAATAGATTAAGTTTAATAGAATTGCCCAAGTATCTGTCAAATCCTAGTGCAGGGTTATGTTGCACCCCAAAGGGGCAGTTCTTTTAATAAGGTTGAAACATCACCCAATAGTTACAGGATCTTTCCCCTCCATTTCCCTGGACTGGCCTGTAAAGTTCATTGATTTCCTCACAGGTACTTTGTATGCAAATCCTGCCGGGTATTGTCAGAGCATTTTAGAGATGACTACATTTTATGCCACTACATCTGGGTGTCCTGGGCAAACCTCACTGCTCACAGTTTGAGATGTTAATTGGCAATTATATACACACATAAAATAAATTTGTGTGCTTTGGGGGCAACGGTTACCATTTTCCTTTTAAGTCTCTTACTCCTCAAGCAAAATAACGTGAAACATAATCCCGAGCGGTACTTTACAATAAGCCAAACGTGCTCTTGGTTAAAACCCAACCGGGGCCGAGTTTCCATTTCCAAGTACCATCCGCGGCTCAGAACAAATAGAGCGAAGACAAAAACGTTACCACGTCCGCCGCGAATAACGAAACTTCTGAACCCAGGTCCACGTTTCAGTGCGACAAACTTCTTACTCATACAAGGAAGAGGCTACTCTCCGAAACAACGAAAACGGAATTATTTCATCCCCGGGCGTTTGGGGTCGGTTCCTCACCGGGGCGAGCGCGGCGGGAGCGGCGAACCCCCCCCGCAGGGAAGGAGGAAAGGAGGGAGGGAGGCGACGGCGCTTCCCCGCCGAGCCCTCCCTCGGCAGGGTCGGCGCCCCCTCCCGCCACCCCGGGTATGCCCCGGTCCCGTGCGGCAGCGTTTCCTTCCCCCCGGCCCTTCCTCTTTGCTTAGTCACCGTGGAGCCCCCCGAGGGAGGGGGTCAGGGCGGCCCGCGGCGCCCTCCCAACGTCCTCGCCCAGCGCCGGGCGTTGTTCGGGCCCGCGGAGCGCTGCCAGAGCGCGAGGCGGCGGCGGGAGCACGGCGGGGCCCCCCACGGCCGCGGCCCGAGTGCCGGTTGCTCCCGCTCCGGCCGCTACGGTGCGGGGCGCCGCCGAGAGGTGCGGAGGAGGCCGGAGGGCCGGGGCGCGGCAGGGGAGGCGGCCCCACGGTGCCGGATGCGCGTGGGGCGGAGGGGCGGCCGGGGGAGCCGGGCCCGCTCGGTCGGCGGCCCTGCCCGGCGCTGTTACCTTCATCAGCCTCCTGCTGGCCGCCATCTTGGCTCTGCTGCCGCGCCCCACAATGCATCGCGGCGCGGGCCGGCCCAGCCGCCCTGCGCTTCCTGCGGCGGCGCGCGCGGGGCGGGGCGGGGGCGGGGCCTGCGCTCGGTTGCGGCTCCGCTCGGCTGCGTTCGCCCTGGCTCGTCTCGGGTTCGGCTCCACTCGGCTCCGTTCCGGTCGGGTTCGGCTACACTCGGCGCCGCCCAGGTCGGCGGCACTCGGCTCGGCTCGGCTCGGCTCGGCTCGGCTCGGCTCCGCTCCGCTCGGTTCGGGTTCTCCTCCAGGCGGCTCTGCGGTCCTCGACGGTGACTTTTGTACGACTGCGTTTTTAATCATCGCTCTGAAGTGCTGCTGTGCCTTATTCTGTGTACTGTGCACCCCCCAAATCTTCGTCGGGGGGCAACAGACAACGACCTGTAGTCACAGGCTTAATCAAACAAGCCCGTGCCATGCTCAGAGCCCCTCTCCGCCTTTATTTCTTAGTTTCTTCCCATGCTTAGTTTCTCCCCCTGAAAGGAGAGGGAAAGGCGTTTCCGGAAGGCGTATCTGATCACAGAACCACCCCCAGCCCCGCTGGTCTCCCATGAAACCCACCCCGGCCTTACCGTACGGTGCCTTGCCCGGCGCAGCCTCGCCCCCCTGCTCCCAGCTGGCTGTGCCCTGCTACCATCTCTGGGAGAAAAGAGCTGTGGAAGGGGAGAAAAGGTCACTGTCAGGATTAATCAGGACTGTAATTTGCCATGCGCTTTTTAGCCCTTTAATAGAGCTCTAACTGTAGCTGCCCTCCAGCTCTGACCCTTCTCAGCTGTGGAGCTGTTCAGTGTCAGTGCAGGTGCCCTTAGGTATCCAAGACACAGGGCTGGCAGGTATGAAATAGGACATAACTTACTACATCACATCTAAAATGACATCAGACATCAGTGTCCGGGAAACTGACTTGCTCCTTAAAACATTCCCCATTGACCCAGTGTGCTCAGGAATTAGTCCAGGATCCGCTCTGCTGATGCGTGGCCTTGATTCCCCTTTGCCCCTCCCTTATGTAAGTTCATGTCCTTGCTTGATCTGACATTTGTTCTACAGAACAAGTCATCTGAAAAAGTTCTAAGCTCTAAAATAAGCTTTACAGACTCAGACAACCTGAAAAAGAAATGTTGTACTTATTACAAAAGGCTTTCAAAAATGCAACAAAAGTTGTTAATTATGAAGCACAAGATTCTAGTACACAATCTTAAAATTAGTCCTTGAACAGATATTTGATAATCAATATTTTGCATTAATATAGTGCTTATTGCTCCAAAACTCAGTAACTAACATTTGTTAATGAACTAATCTATACAGCACCTACAGGAATCACGTACTTCCTATGCATATTATGAAATAGTTTGTAAATAGTTATATTATCAAATATATTTTATGATCACGATAACTTTATTCTATTGACTATGCAAATATTATTCCATTCATTTTATTCAAGGAAAATGAAGTCAGAGGAAACTGAAAGAGGCAGACCCTCCTGGTGAAGTAGCAGAGGGATGCAAAGTGAGTCTGTGTGCTAACTGGGTGGAGAAGTTACTCATGTGCCAGGCAGGCACACGTTGTGTGAAAACAGGAGCTGCAGAGACCCTCTGAGGATTCTTGATGTGCTGCTGAAGTGCCATGCTGGTGGGGAAGATTTAAAAATGATGACATCTGATAGAAGAGCTCGTCCAGATTCTATGACTGTGAAATGTACAAATACCTAAATCTGGTACCACGGTAACTTGGAAGAACAGTTCTTACGCCTGATTTTCCATGTCTACAAATATGAAAAACAAGCTGCTTCAAATACTATCTTGATTTCTTTATTTGCCAAAATTCTATTAATATCTTCAGCTTGTCTTTATTTGACTGCATAATTTTCCAAGTCTACTATATGTCTCCATGTATTCTCTAAACATTTTTTGCCCAAAATACAGTTATTCGGGCCCTCGTCTATACCTGCACTGAGACACAGAGCCACCAGACACCAGAGACAGTACTAGAAGCACCACTGGGAATTCTGAAATTACTATCTGTAGTTTTAATCCACGAATTTATAGCTTGTAAGAGTGTCAGTGGTAGCTGGGATAATTAGAAGATAATCTGCATTTCCTTTAACAAGACAAAAATACCACCCACACTACAATTAACAATAGCCCAGGCAGTTCTTAAGAAATCCATGCTGAGTGCAGCTGCCTTCACAAATTGACACTTAATGATGAAATCCTGTATTACAGCAAAGTGATTGAGAAGTTTACATAGAACTAGGCACATTTCACATATCTCTTGCCAGTATCCTGGATCCTTTCAGTGTCCAGTATTAGACTGGATCAAGAGAAGATCCGAAGGTGCCATCACTCATGCGCATCTTGTGGATGACCAAGGGCTGTACAGCCGTACCCCAAGTGCTGATCCCACCTGGCTGCTGGTTACCTACAGTCAGGACACGCTGTTGTACAGTCCTGGAGAAGTGGCAGGAATTTCCTTTCAGACAGAATTCCACAAATTATATCTCGTACCGTTCTGTCAGCAATAAACCTGGGCCATTTGTTATACTGGTTTTGTAGACAGTTCTGCATTTTTAAACTTGCTTTTTGGTATGGTTTCCACACTGTATCCATTATTTTACTTGACAATTAAGAGTGCCCAGAATGCGGGTTTTAGTGCTATCTGTGATATCTTCAAGAGACTGGACACTATATTTATACCTACCCACTGTCAAAGATTACTTTCTATCACATTTCCACTGTTTTAAGCAACATAACTGTTCCACTTCTAAAAGAGAAACCCTAATTACCAATTGCCATGAAAACACAACACTACAATAACAAATCACAAAGCACTTGAAAATCCTAATTGCCAATTGGCATGACAACAGCAGGCTAAAATTGCCAATCACAACACCCAATTAGCATTAGGTTAGCGTTAGGGGTTAGGGTTAGGGCTAGGGATTAGGGTTTGGGTTAGTGTTTAGAGTTTAGGGTTTGAGTCAGGGTCAGGGTTGGGGTTCGGGTTAGGGTTTAGGGTTCGAGTTAAGGTTAGGGGTAGGGTTAGGGTTTAGGGTTTGAGTTTAGGATTCGGGTCCAGGTTAGGGTTTAGGGTTTGGGTTAAGGTTAGGGTTAGGGGTAGGGTTAGGGGTTAGGGTTCAGGTTCAGGTTAGGGTTTAGGGTTCGGGGTTAGGGTTTATGGTTAAGGGTAAAGTTACAGTTTAAAGTTATGGTTTCGGTTTAGCGTTAGGGTTTATGGTTACAATTAGAGCATGCTCTGCAAACACCTGTACTGGGAATGCTGCAAAGGGGCTGGGGATGACAGCACCAAGTGGTGAGTCGGGAGAGCCTTCTGTGCCATTTGTATCCATTTCTTGCACAGACCTGAGCGAGTCCAACTCCTGCTCCTGCAAGCACCCTTGTGTTGTTTACGTAGTTGAGGATGGGTTTTTAGGTAGATTGGCTGAAGTGGGGAAGAGCAAGGGAAGACTACTTGGGTGGAGAACTGGTTCAGTGGAGAACTTCTCCAAACCATGAGAGAACAACATGGGCATGTGCTGTTTCTAGAGTAGAACTGGGCACATGGCAAAGTTTAATCTTAAAAATGTTTTTGTTACCTTTTTTTTTGTCTCTGGCAGTGCAATTTCCTTCCCACAACAGCTTCTCTTGGCTCAGTGTTTGCTAAACCTACAGAGAGGTAATTTCTGGGTAGCTGGGGAGACTCTTGAATGTTGGGAGGCTGCTGTTTGTGTTGTTTTGGTCTTTTGCATTGTTCTCTCCATCCGACTTCCCCCACTGCAAGGTCATGGTGAGTCTCATGGTAGAGTAACAATCCCGCTGGTGGTCAAACTTCTGGCAAAGGTCTTTGTGTACTTGTGATATTGCAGCTCCTTCTTACAGGCATGACTACTCCACACCACCTTTCCTTGCTTGTAAGGTACTGGACCAAATACCCACATGGAATTTGAATTAGTGCCCCTCCTTGTGTATTCTCTTTTGTACTTTGATGCCTTCTCTCTGGGTGGATTATTTTAACCCCAGATTGTTTGGGGGAAAATAATTGGAACTGTGTAGCTATTTAAGAGAGGAGAATAAAACTACTTATGACTAAATGAAGTTCTTGCACCTTTGTAAATCTTGAAGAAGTCTATTGCTGTGTAATGGCTGAATCTGTTAACTTATTAAACCATATGGAAATCAAAACCTGGCCCTGAGTCTGACTTCATACCTGGCAGAGTGCTGTGAGTTGCCCTCCAACCTGTCCCTGTCTCCTCTAAATTCTCCCACTCAAATGATGGCAAACGGTATATACCCCTGCGAGGGTCCCCCCTCGCGAGTCCCCTTTGCCCCTTGCATGCCCTGCTCTCATCTCTTGACTCACCTTTTTTCCCTCTTCCTCTCTATTCTCCCCCTCCCTTCCCTCTTCTCTCCCCTTTTCCCCCCTTCCCCTTTCCGGCCCTTTGTCTGCCCTTTTCCTGGTTTCTCTCCCCTTCTGCTCTTATCCCTTCTCTGTTCCCTCCCTTGGGCTCTTGGCACTCTCCACACCTTCTCCCCTCTCCCCTCTTTTTTCCACCCCTTCTCTCCTCTCCTCTTCTTGTCTCCTCTTCTCCCTCTGTCTTGTGACCCCGATCTTGTACCCACCCTCCCTCTCTTCTTTTCCACCTTTGGGGGTGAGTGAAAAGGGGGATGTGGGGGAGTCTTGGGGGGTGATGAGGTCATTAGAGGCATCCCAATGCCTCTGGAAGAGCGAGGATGCAGTGGAGGAGCAGGTGAGTGGGGGATGAGGAGGGTCGTGCGGGGGTCCTCCCAAAAAAGGGAGATTACAGCACCAAAAGGCCTGAAAATTTATGGGAGGTGGATGTGTGTTAAATGTACTAAAACCAGTAACATTTCTCTTTTTCATAGAGTCATAGAACCAGCAAAGTTGGAAAAGACCTCTGAGATCATCTAGTCCAACCCTTGATCCAACACCACTGCAGTTACTAGACCATGGCACTAAGTGCGACATCCAGTCTCATCTTAAAAACTTCCAGGGACGGAGAATCCATCACTTCCCTGAGCAACCCATTTCAATGCCAGATTACCCTCTCTGTAAAGAATTTCTTCCTATATCTAACCTAAACCTCCCCTGGCACAGCTTAAGATGATGCCCTCTTGTCTTACTGATAGGTGCCTGGGAGAAGAGACCAACCCCCACCTGGCTCCCCCCTCCTTTCAAGGAGTTGTAGAAGGTGATGAGGTCTCCCCTGAGCCTCCTCTTCTCCAGGTTAAACAACCCCAGCTCCCTCAACCTCTCCTCATAGGACTTGTGTTCAAGCCCCTTCACCAGCCTTGTTGCTCTTTTGCTATATATTGAAAAATAATTTTAATTTACATATAAATTGATTTCAAAATAAAGCCCTGTATATATTGTATTATATACAGGATCCTAGAATATAAGAAATTCTAAATATAGACATATAGGGCTTGAAAATACAAATATAAGTTTTGTATATCTAAATTAAACCACAGAGGGCTCAAAAATGTGAGAAAATGTGACGGCTTTGGTGGCAATAGAAAGGGCTCTGTGTGTCGGGAGGTTTTTCCGGTCCCCTCTCGCTGCCCCCCCCGCTGGGGCGGGAGCCGCTGCTGCCGCCTGGCGGTGAGCTCGGGTAGTGCGTGTGCGCGGTGACTCGCGGGTGACACCTGGTGACTGAAAGCGGTACTGCAAAGAAGGGCGCGCACGCGCAGGTGCTCCACTGAAGCGGAACGACGGCCTTCACACCATCCCTGCGACCCGTGCGGGGCAGGCTGCTGCCCATCGGCCCCCGAGCGCAGGTGGGTATGGAAGTGATGGTGTTTAGGGAATGCTGATCGTATTTCCCTGACTTTGGCAACCCGAGAAAATAACAAGTCCATGGAAATCCCCCGCAGTTGGGATCTTGTGGTGCTTGGGATTAAATCTTGGCTTAATAATGTTGAAACTGTGGGCCAGGGGAGGGGCGGTGGCCGAGCAGGGCCAGCGGCGGGGCCGGACGGGGCTGGCCCGGGGGTCCCTTCCCCGCGGGGTCGCAGCCGCGGGACCCGCCCCCGCCCCGCGCGGCCACTCCCGGCGCGCCCCGCCCGTCCTTGGGGGCTGCGGCCGCTCCCGGCGCTGCCGAGGCTGCCGGGGAGGGACCGGCCTGTGCTGGGGGCAGGGTGGGTTATTCCTTGTGTTCGAGGGCGGCAGCGGCAGCGGCGCTGCGGGGCGGGACGGGCGGGAGGTGCCGGGTGAGGGCGGGGAAGTCGCGGCGGGGCCCGGGGGCTGCAGCTCTCGGGGCCTGGCGGCGGACGGGGTCTGCCTGGGCTTAGCGGGAGGAGCTGGGAGTTGGCATAGTGCGATTTGTTTGTTTGGTTTTTTTTTTTTCCTGTTTTTCTGGTTTCCTTTTCGACCACTGCGGTGCTGGGCAGAAAAGGCTGGAAAAGAAAGTCTGGGAGTGGCTTCCCGATTCGCTTTGCAGACATTTGCCACCTTCAGAGGAGGCACAAATCCCCGCGGAGCTGAGCAAGGGGTACGGGAAGTGCAGTAGGGTACAGGGAACTGGGGTGGGGCTGTGACCAGAGGAGGGTGCGCGCAGTGCCCCAAAACTCTCACCCAAAACAAGCCCGAAAGAACCCCAGAGCCCGGAGCGAAGTGCCGCGGGCTCGCGCCGGCACCAGAATGTCTTGGTGTCTGTGCTTTTGTCATATTTTTCCCCCTGCTTATCTTGTAGTGAGTCACTTTGACTGGGACAAGCCCCCTTTGAGCCTTACTTGGTGTGTGTATGATTTTGTCAGCACTGGAGGAAGGGCACAACTTGCC